ATCAAGATAGCTTTAAAATTCATCGAGATATAAGCTTTGAAAATTAAGGTATTGATTTTTTTTCAAATGTAGATCTGTTTGATTTCTATTGATGGCAGCCCATATGTGTGTATATACTAGTACACAAATACTGTAGTAATTATCTAAAAATTATATATTCATAGTATAGACTTGATATTAGTCTTACTCTCTTTAAGATATCAGATAATAAAATTTACTTCCTTAGTAGCTAATTTCAAAGTAATATTATTAATAACAGCATGCTCATAAAATGTATAAAAAATAGCAATCCCAAGAACTAAAAGTTTGTTTGCGAAGCTAAGGAAAATTTTTTAAGGCTATGTTACTGTTTATTATCATTACCATAGTTAGATGCTTAGCTTTGGCGCGGTGTTTGAATGGTCGATAATAATAAAAATAATAATAAATAAATAAATAAATAATATTGAGGTTCTGGTTTATTCACCATCTGCAAATACTTATTTAACAGACAAGATATAATGCTAATTTAATAAAAAAAAATAATGTTGTCTACATCAAAGAATGAAAGAAATCAGGATAACTTTAATTCTACAGAAACAATACCTTTATATAGAAAAAATGGCGCTTTAGAAAATGACAATGATGTTATCGAAGACGACGATATGCTATTATATGGGGAAGTTAGTGAATGGACTGAAAGATTATATATTATCCGGAAAGCATTTCCCGTTTTCTTGGCATATCTATTGCAAAATGCAATACAACTTATCAGTGTGTTATCATTAGGTCATTTGGTAACGTGTCTCAAAGTTATGCCGTAAAACCGCGAAATAACGATAATGGGTGTTATTTCGAAAATTGTATCCTTTAAAAATTTCATTCTTAACTTCGAAATAATGTTCATGAGACGCTTCGAAATAGTACGCACTTTATATAATATATTTTTTAATATAGTAATAATCGGGTTCGAAATAACGCGTATATAACAAAATAAAGTGTAGGCGTACATTATTTTGCGGTTTTACTATAAATCAAATAAGGTTTTTTTTTTTTTTTTTTGAAATATCGGTTTAATCAAAAATTGACTAATAGGGTTCTACAGAATTGGCCGCCTCTACCCTGGGTTCAATGGTAATAGTTATTTTACAATATTTGGTTGGATAGATCTGACTTATGTGACTTCCATACATGCGTTACATTATCGTTATATCGCCTGGCAATCAAATATTATTAAGAGTTTTTAAATTAAACGAATGGTTAATATAAGCAGATGTTACAATGGGAACTACATATATGACAAATTCGCAAACCGTTTGATTCTATTTGCCTAATTAATATAATATCGTTAATTAACTAGTTTGCTACATTTACATGTTGGTCAGTATCATATGGTGTTGCGACAGCACTTGATACCCTTTGTTCCCAGGCTTATACGTCTGGCAAGGTGCAAATGGTGGGAATATATCTACAACGAGCTATTATCATAAATTTAATAGGATTAATTCCGATCGCTTGTATTTGGTGGGAAGCAGAGCAGATTTTCGTTCTTATTGGTCAAGACCCTAAAGTTTCCGCGCAAGCTGCTTTATTTCTACGATATTTGTTGATTGGTGCGCCTGCATTCGTGATGTTTGAAAATTTGAAGAGATATTTGCAGGCTCAAGGTAACATAAATAACACATTATTAGTTAGTTAATTAAATGAATTTACGTGAATTGTCGCAAGTCAATTGAAATCTGGTTAAAATGAATTTTAAGACACCCAAAACCCAAAGTAATACATCCTTTCAAAAATTTTTATCACAACGCGTAAATTTCAAATTAAAATTTATTTTAATCTGATTTCTTTTAATCTGCTCATAAATTAAACGTGAATTAATTAATAATTTTACTGTATTATAATCGATGCATAGGTATAATGAAAGCTGGTACATATGTATTAATAATTTGTTGTCCAATTGATATATGCCTAAATTTCATGTTAGTTTGGTACAAACCACTATCTCTTGGGTTAATTGGTGCACCTATTGCCACATCTACAATTTATTGGTTAATGTTTTTATTTCTTGTCATTTATACTAAATTCATTGACGGATATAAAGCTTGGGGTGGTTGGTCATGTGCTGCATTTTATGGTTGGAAACAATACTTCGTATATGCAGGTCCGGGTGTTTTAATGGTTTGCGCGGAATGGTGGGCGTTTGAATTCGGTTCTCTTATTTCCGGATATATTAGTGAAAATTCACTTGCATCCCAAGGTATACTAGTTACTTCTATTAATATTCTTTATCAATTACCATTTGGGGTTTCTATATCAGCATCAAATCGAATTGGAAATTTATTGGGAGCTGGATTAGCGGAAAGAGCAAAAATGGCAACAAAACTTTCTATGCAACTCGCTATAATAGTTGCTTTATTTAATACATTTTTATTAATAATTTTAAGGGAGTATTGGGGGTTAAGTTGCGATCAAATACTTACATGTTGATTTTAATTACTGCGCATTCATTTACTTAATTTCATAAATTATATTATATTATAGATACATATTTACCTCCGATGAAGATGTAATCAATTTGACATCCTACATATTGCCAATAGCTGCTTTATACCA